CTAATGAATGATTATGCTACAATTTGCCCCAGGACGGCAGCTATCGCAATTTATTAAATTACAGTGATTCGTGCAACTGCGCGCCTCTCAATGCGGCATCCGGTAGTCGTCGCCAGTACATGTCTTCGGGCTATGTATCGCCCCGATCGTCATTAAGACGGCAGTGTCATTTCAATATTCGCCCCGAAGTTGAGTCTGCAAAAGCAGTTGGCCTGGGAAAATGGCAATTTGGATGTGAAAAAAATCAGTTTCAGTGCGAGTATGATGATCGTAAAGAAGAGGAGATAAATGATGAGGAGTGTGCGCCAAACAACAGAGTGGAAAGGATGAAAAATGAAATCGGGCGTGAAACGAACGGGTAGTCATCGGCTACCTGGGTCATGGGGGCCCCTCTTGTTATATCGCTTACAGTAGTGAGACGAGAGAGCCAGAAGAAAAAGGTGGAACTAATAATCGCAAAGTGGACCAAAAGGATAACGGTTACGACGGATGGAGGTGAGCTTGTTGTTCCGAAGGAATGCAACATTCATCTCCTCGGATTGCAGCAATTGGCGGAAGGAATTTCCAAAAATTTGTCCAATTTGCGCTGCAAAGTTTGAGACAAACGAACATTTCATTGTCGATTAGCGTCCAGCTAAAATGCACGGTCGCAATCGCTTGCGTGTCCGTTGGCAATGCAGTCGTAAACAAGGTGGCCATTAATTTGGCACGAATGATGATGCCCAATATCCTTTGGCAAGTATATTCCGGTCTTCTTGTTCCTCTTCACTGAGGTGGCCCTGACTATCACCCAACACATTCTGTGTTTAAGCCCATACGATTCTGGCCCGATAGGCTGGCGGGGATAAAATAAGTTTAGGGGGCGTGAAATTGCCAGTAATTTTACAAGCTATAACGATCTACTAAATCCGTAAAATAATTAAGGGTGCAGATGTTTTCGTCTTGGTGAATAGCACCTCACCCCCCTCTACCGCGCTGGTAACAGTGTAAGGAGGCCCCTTTGGCCTTCTCTGTGATAAAAATTTCAGCCGATATTAAGTGTACCCTCTCCTCATCCCATAATCTAAACTTCTTGATGGTCTCCTAATACATTTCAACACAGCTATTACTTAGATCGCGCGAGATACATTGCAACAAATTCAATTCTCATCGCGTGACCAAGTCGATTCATTTTTTCTCCACCATTTCTCCACTGACTTCTCATTTCTTTACCTCCTCAAGTTATTAATCCACGCTCTGGAATAACTGACGTCAATCAATTCATAATTAATAGGTGGATAATTGTTTACAATAATTATTGGTAATTCTCCAGCTGTTCTTCCGGCACTCGTCAAAGTTTAGATTCTCACGGGTTGAAGATAAATCCTACCAGCCAATTCGATCTACTTTCACACAAGCAGTCTGGGATTCATCAATTTGCAATTGCAACTTTGTATCTTTTGGGCAGCTATTCATCTTCAGCAATTGGATGATGACTTCAGAGGGGCAATTTGCATAGACTGGGTGGAAAATTCAATCAGCCCGAGGGTCCTTGGTGGGTCACAATGATGTTGGTAGTCATGTCCTCACGTAAATAACAATCAGTTGACAAGATTCATCGTTGGGTGGTGAAAAATCTAGTTGAATGATGAAGAAATACCGATTGGCTTTACCCTCGAGCCAAGACAACTGGATTACTGTCCCTGCGGCCGAATCATGACATCTGGTAACCGATGTTCCTCGTAATGGTCATCCTGAGACCCCCGAAAATGACCGCTCATGAAAAGAACAACAACTTTAATCCTGAAAATAGACAGACAACTGGTAAATTGTCTGCCAAGTGAGGGAAACAAAAAACTCAACGATGAGATTGTCGCAATGGCATCTGGTAGCCGTGGTGCCCCATATAGCTTCGTCTCCGGTGGTCGTCTCATTGAAGTCACATACCGGCTGTATGAATTCCATCAAACAAGCTATTGAGGTCCTCCCCCGGTTTGTCGGACAAGGCGCGGTGCTGGATAGCAAGACTCCAGTGACAATTTGATGAATAGTCCGCCTCATTCCAAACGCCTGGCACCGTAAAGCGTCGTTAAGCCATCAGCCTTGAATCATCACCTTCCATTTTTAACATAACAAAGCCGTTCGCACCGGAGTCGACATGTTTAATAACGAGTTCGCTTGTCTTACTTGATGGGACACAACAGTCCTGACGGCTACGAGATTCATCAACACTCGCTGAACTAGGCATCAACAGTGGTCTTCACAAAGTCAAAATGAAACTCCCTGTATTATCCAACCTCCATTCACCGAGGGGGGGGGGAGGGGGGAACTGGTCATTAATTCAATTGACGAAATACAAAAAAGGAAATATTTAATCGTGGCTTTCACAACTCCTCGGGCATCATCCAGCGAATACAATTGCTGAATGCGCGTGTTGTATCATCCAAACGAGTCTGAATTATTTCCTGCTTCGTTTATTCACCTGTATAGACACCCGTTATAAACTCAAACTATCTCTCTTTTCACGCTGGAGGGATTCGTCACGTGAACACTCGGACGGTACAGTACCTCCAGCGTTCATCATCATTAGGCGTTGATCACTGGGCGATCATCGTCCATGAGCGCTGTACGCGTAGTCTTTTGCCGCTGCCAATGCCGACTTACTACCGCCTAAGCGTTTGTTGTACCCAACATTACTGGTCATACCGAGTTAGTCGTTTTTTCTTTTTTTTTTTTTAAGAAAAAATAAATGGACAAAACTCACGTATATAAACCTGGATAGTTGATGCCCACCGACTTCATGGGTCAAGGGGTTCAGACGTTTCTTTGCTTCGTACGGGCCTTCAAGTTATTAACCTACCGTCATTCGTACATCGCTGCCACGTGGGTTAATCCATTTATGAGTTACAGTGTGGCTGGGAGAGGATGGATAAAAATAACAAAGTGGCACATATCGGTGAAACCGGAGTGAAGGGGTGATACCGTGAAATCAACTTCTAGACGCTTGCTTACTACTGTTCGGAGACGACATGGTGGATTTGGTGGGACGAGTGTGTGGGTTGATATTCGGTGATGGCTTTGGTTGTTTCATCTTTGAGTCGATATTTTTTATTGTTGTAAATCAGACATTATTGCAAAGCAATACGAATCAAAAAGAAATACGAGTGAAGCAAAATTCATTTGAGGATTTTATTCAATTGAAAAGTTGATGGATTGCTCTTATCTGGGAAAATGTGCATTTTATTTTAAAGCAATACGAATCAAAAAGAAATACGAATGAACAAAATTCATTTGAGGATTTCGTCTGATTGAAAAGTTGATGGGTTGTTCTTATCTGGGAAAAATGTAAATTTGATTTCAAAGCAATACGAATCAAAAAGAAATACGATTGGAGGAGAAAAACTTGATTTTCGATTTTCACGGTATTCACTTGCAGAAAAGTGAAATGGTAAAATTGCAAATTAAATATTGATTTTCTACGGGAAAACCAAGCCCGTGGATAGTGCCGTGTCGCAGACAGTTAAAGGCTACGACCTCACCTTTATTTTTCACTCGAACTCTCCCCCTTGCCCCTAAACTTTATCCATGATCGAACGCGTTTGTACCTCCGTTTAAATTTACACGTCCCAGCACCACTTGCCACTCTTACAGTACCTCTGAGTGACTGTTTTAAAATCGAAAAAACCACGGTACTGAGTATATACGTTGTAAATGGCATAGCGTGACTACAAAATTTTAGGTATTTGTGTGGGTAACGCGTGTGTTGTAGGTAAAATGGAAAGCCCCGGTGGAGTTTCGACCGTCCCCTTCGATAAAGAAATAAAATTACAGGCTCGCGGCTTGTTCACAACTCCTACTTGTCCCTGCCATGGTATTTTTGGGTGGATTTCTTATTTGAATAGGGTGAATTGACAGGGCTGGAGGGATATTTGTCGTGACACGATTTTTTCGATTGGTTTCTCGCCGAAAAATTACAGGGTATTGGAGGAAAGTTTTATGTCTTCGGGAATCTGACGCGACTCTGGGGCACACACGAAACAAAATGGATTTTCTCACCCATCGTACACATTCAATATGGCGGAAGCGCGGTAAAATTCAAAGCGTCAATTTCGTAAAAAATATGGGGACAATGATTGGAGTGAATTTTTCAGGTTCAAATGGGGAATTTATTGTCTATCTACACTGTTAAAAATTTCCGGTAAGAGAAATTTCTAACCAGTAACATTTCCACTGAAATTTCAAGAAATTTTATCATTGAAAATTCATAATTTCAGTAAATTAATTTAGCAATTTTCAGTTTAATTATTCCAGAAAAATTACACGAAGAGAAAAATTTAATGAAAATTACCAGAAAAAAAACGTAAAAATTACGTTTTAAAACGTAATCCGCGAGCGAAGTAAAATTCCATAAAAAGTGGGAGTCGGAATTGAAATTGCACGAATCGCCACGTAAATTCTACGATTTGTTCCGTAAAAATTAACCAGCCGTCTGATGACCCACCGCTGTGGGGACAAGTCGTTCCGTAATTTTTCCCCAACGATTGAGAAATTTTACGAAACGAAACGTAGAAATAACTCACCAGCTTCATAAAAATTATTGAACGTTCAAGAATTTTTAATTTTGGAGGCACAATAACTCGGCAAGTTTCTGTAAGAATTTACTTCTTCGGGAAAAATTACGTGACAATTTCGTACTTTGTTCGGTGATGAACCTGAAAATTCAGTGAACGTGTCAGATTTCTTCTCTTCGATTCCTATAAAAATTGCCGGAAAACGATTCCCCATTGCGGATTACGTGAATTGTCAATTCGCGATTCCTCCGAATGTTCAGAGAATTCCTTAAAATTCCTGCCACTTCGAGAATGTCAAAGGAAACTCCAAATTCCATTGACTCATTCCAAAAAATTCAGGCAAATTTTTTAACAGTGAACTTAAAAATGTTCATCACATATGCAACAAAAATACAGAATATTCTCGAGTGGACCTGCCATCCAGGAAAATATACGCAATGCTGTACTTACCGTGCAGATGGTGGGCGTATGTCCATGAACTTTAACGTTGTCCGGGGGTTCCGCCGCCTTGGAGAGATCCGGACGAACTCTCGCGGCCGATGACGAGCCAGTGGCGACCGGAGCCTCCGGTCGGGCGAACCACGGCGGTACCTGGAGTAATTCAAAAACAAAATCATTGACGAGAAGATGAATCGCGCAGATAATGTGTCAACAAGCATTAATATCAAGTCCCGCGTCGTCAAAAGGCATTCAGGGGGACAAGAATCGTAGTTGACCCGGCGAGGCATTAGTGTCACTGCCGTTGAATATGAACACACTTCAAGATGGATGGCCACTCGAGGCGTGTGGTCCCCGCGACCCGTGCCCCTTTCATACTCAAGAGACATGAAACATGAGGGACGAAAAAAAATAGTCGCGGGGCATAAAGAGCTTTTGATGGGGGGCTATCATGTCCAACGGGAAGACTCCCGGAGTCGATCTCAGTTGTAATCCCAGTGACATCAATCAGGGGAATTCCACCGCATTGACCATCATGTGTCAAGGGGTTTCTCTAAAGATGGCATTTTTTTCCGTCAAGTGACACTTGGCAACGGAAAACTGTTGGTGGTCTGGGTCTGCAGCGTCGCACACCCAGAAAAATGGTTTATTCGAGTAAAATAAAATTTACTTAATTCAAATGAACAATTCAGTAGCGAAGTGGTAGAAGGGTTCAAGTCGACTTAATCCCAGTTGTGTTTTTCAGGAATATTTCCGAATCTAAGGGAGATAGCGAAATTTTTGTAATTACATTTGTTGTAGCTCTCAATCGGCTCCACAAAAAAGGTTATAACAAAAATTTTGCTATCTCCCTTAGATTCCGATATATTGATTGAAAACAGGTCAATAGTCAAAATTGACTTATATTGTTTTACCACTTCGCTACTGAATTAATAGTGAATCATTAATTGTTTACTTGGATAAATATTTTTTAAATATTGTTAGAGAATTGAAAATGAAAATATGCAATTTCCACTTTAAAATAAATTATAATACTGAATAAAATTGAAGTAAAACAAAATAAATACATCACGACAAATTGAAATTTCGCCTTCATAAAATACAAAAATAATTTTATCTGTTGAATACTCACCATAAAAAAAATCAATATGTTTATGAACCACCGCCATCGATTAAAATTCAATATTTTCTCAGAATCATGACACTTTTCTCCCGAATCGTCGAAATAAATGGGAAAAAGGTGATGACCGAGGCTAAAAGAATCCATTTCTAACACAAAGGTAATACGTACGAGGACGTTTTCACGCCCGCGGCCTCTCTTAGACTCCGAGATATTCATTGAAAACTGGTCAATAGTCAAAATAGACTTATATTGTTTTACCACTTCACTACTGAATTAATAGTGAATCATTAATTGCTTACTTGCATATATATTTTTTAAATATTGTTAGAGAATTGAAAATGAAAATATGCAATTTCCACTTTAAAATAAATTATAATACTGAATAAAATTGAAGTAAAACAAAATAAATACATCACGACAAATTGAAATTTCGCCTTCATAAAATACAAAAATAATTTTATCTGTTGAATACTCACCATAAAAAAAATCAATATGTTTATGAACCACCGCCATCGATTAAAATTCAATATTTTCTCAGAATCATGACACTTTTCTCCCGAATCGTCGAAATAAATGGGAAAAAGGTGATGACCGAGGCTAAAAGAATCCATTTCTAACACAAAGGTAATACGTACGAGGACGTTTTCACGCCCGCGGCCTCTCTTAGACTCCGAGATATTCATTGAAAACTGGTCAATAGTCAAAATAGACTTATATTGTTTTACCACTTCACTACTGAATTAATAGTGAATCATTAATTGCTTACTTGCATATATATTTTTTAAATATTGTTAGAGAATTGAAAATGAAAATATGCAATTTCCACTTTAAAATAAATTATAATACTGAATAAAATTGAAGTAAAACAAAATAAATACATCACGACAAATTGAAATTTCGCCTTCATAAAATACAAAAATAATTTTATCTGTTGAATACTCACCATAAAAAAAATCAATATGTTTATGAACCACCCCCATCGATTAAAATTCAATATTTTCTCAGAATCATGACACTTTTCTCCCGAATCGTCGAAATAAATGGGAAAAAGGTGATGACCGAGGCTAAAAGAATCCATTTCTAACACAAAGGTAATACGTACGAGGACGTTTTCACGCCCGCGGCCTCTCTTAGACTCCGAGATATTCATTGAAAACTGGTCAATAGTCAAAATAGACTTATATTGTTTTACCACTTCACTACTGAATTAATAGTGAATCATTAATTGCTTACTTGCATATATATTTTTTAAATATTGTTAGAGAATTGAAAATGAAAATATGCAATTTCCACTTTAAAATAAATTATAATACTGAATAAACTTGAAGTAAAACAAAATAAATAAATCACGACAAATTGAAATTTCGCCTTCATAAAATATAAAAATAATTCTATCTGTTGAATACTCTCCATAAAAAAAATCAATATGTTTATGAACCACCCCCATCGATTAAAATTCAATATTTTCTCAGAATCATGACACTTTTCTCCCGAATCGTCGAAATAAATGGGAAAAAGGTGATGACCGAGGCTAAAAGAATCCATTTCTAACACAAAGGTAATACGTACGAGGACGTTTTCACGCCCGCGGCCTCTCTTAGACTCCGAGATATTCATTGAAAACCGGTCAATAGTCAAAATTGACTTATATTGTTTTACCACTTCGCTACTGAATTAATAGTGAATCATTAATTGCTTACTTGCATATATATTTTTTAAATATTGTTAGAGAATTGAAAATGAAAATATGCAATTTCCACTTTAAAATAAATTATAATACTGAATAAACTTGAAGTAAAACAAAATAAATAAATCACGACAAATTGAAATTTCGCCTTCATAAAATATAAAAATAATTCTATCTGTTGAATACTCTCCATAAAAAAAATTAATATGTTTATGAACCACCCCCATCGATTAAAATTCAATATTTTCTCAGAATCATGACACTTCTTCCGAATCGTCGAAATAAATGGGAAAAATGTGATGACCCCAGCCTCCCTTAGATTCCGAGATATTAATTGGAAACTGGTCAATAGTCAAAATTGACTTATACCGTTTTACCAATTCGCTACTGAATTCTTCCGAGCGCGAAACGGAATCAAAGACGTACTTCCAAATTTTTTCCATTAAAAGGGGTTGAAACATCACTTTGAGAATGTTTCTTTCATTAAACTTTCATCAAACCCCGGGAGAGAAAAAAAAGCCGATAAAAATTGCGCTCGCGGGTGAATGTTCTTTTTGCTCGCTTCTCTTTTCCTTTCATCGGGGTTTCCTTTTTTCATCGAACGTAACCGTCCCGAAAAATCATGGAGTGCACCGCGGATGACGTGACGGCTCGGCGTAATCCCCCGGGGGCTTCACCATCATTTTCGGACTTCACATCGAGCGAACACAATGTACGCATGTAAAATTTTTCAAATAATCCCGCCACAAATTCACTAAATTAAAAAAAATACATCTCAATAATTAATTGCTCCTGTCATTCCCATAATACCATAATCACCAATTACGGACTATTTTTTCCCCTCCCTCGTTAATTACCCGCCAATTATGAATTAAGATTATCACATGTCATCATCAACGATGTTGACATAATTTCGTTGTTCACGTTGCCGTGAGCAGCTAAACTGGATGAAAGAGGTGTCGCGTTTTTTTTCCTCCTTCCAGAATAAAACGACTACTTACACGCAACGAGCGTGACAGCCGTCCCGCGTCGTCGCCTCGACGATTTGACGCGTGCGACACGCCATCGTGCCTAGCGCCATCCTCCGGCCAGTAATTACGGGTGACAAAGAGGGATCAGGTGCCCTCGTCGCAAATAGGTAATGAAATTCGAATGATAAAAGTCACTTCCTCCGGTCATTGTGGGCCTAGGCTATTCTCATCCAAACAGTTGTGCAAGATGTTTACACACGTGTTCTTTTTGGCACAGTATATTATGGCATCACACGCGAGCTGCCTCAAATGACAGACTGTTTTGTGTCTTGTCTCTTTTGTGTCACACGTACGTATTTGTGTATAAACACTCGCTTCCGCGTGATGGAAAGGTGATATCGATTCATCGGGGTGAAAATTGACGTATCATGCGATCTATTGGGAATAAAGAGTGTGAGAAAATTTGTTTGATGGTTTCCTCAGGGGTGTCTTTGCGTGAATTCAGAGGAACGCCTGCTTCCTCTCTGCCAAGGACGTGGCCTCGATACTACACATTGTTGGCCAGGGGGATGGGCCAATATCAGACGGTTGAATTTTTTTTTTTTTTGGAAATGCCTGAATTTCGGACGAAAATGTTACAATGTAAAACCCCTCGTAACGACGGCAATATGATTTGACCACACGGAGAGAAATATTCAGTCAAAATTACGGGACAACTCACGTGATCCGCAATGGGGAATCGTTTTCCCGCAATTTTTATAGGAATGGAAGAGAAGAAATCTGAAACGTTCAGTGAATTTTCAGGAATTTTCAGGAAATTGTCACGTCATTTTTCCCGAAGAAGTAAAATCTTTCAGAATCTTGCGGACTTATTGTGCCTACAAAATTACGGAATGACTGGTTGTCCCCACAGCGGTGAGTCATCAGACGGGTGGTTAATTTTTACGGAATAAATCGTAGAATTTACGTGGCGATTCGTACAATTTCAGTTCCGACCACACTTTTTATTGAATTTTACGTCGCTCACGGATTAGATTGAATTACGTTTCGAATTAGTTTCGAAACGTAATTTTTACGTTTTTTTCTGGTAATTTTAACGTGGATACGTCTATGGTTTCAATATGGGGGGTCATTTTGGGAAACGGTCCTTATGTGCAGCGCCATCTATCGGAATTCTAGAAAATTCTAGACATTTCGAGGTAATTCGAGAAGTTTCTTGAAATTTCGAAAAAAATTCAAGGAGTTTCTAGAAATTTCGAGGAAATTCAGGGAGTTTCTAGAAAATTGAAGGGAATTTAATGAGTTTCTAGGAAATTCGAGAAACAAGGAAAGACCATGGCCATATGTATCGAAGCCGCCTGGAATTTTTTAT